ATAGAAATAAAGCTTTTAAGTGTTTTTCTTCTGTAAGTGGGTTTTATTCCCCCTTTTTAACCTCTGGCTGGCAGTGTCCCACTTCATTTTACCCTTTCACTGAAGTTTTAAATTCTTTATTGAGTCTCTTCATTATTGCTTTCATTATTAAAATTTTTGTTACAGTTCGCTTCATAGAGTTAATGCCAGAGTAAGCTTTGTAAAGCAAACTGGACCTGTATGGACAGATTTTGTTGTTGATACGTGACCACCCCAATTTGTATGGTCTTACATTTGTTACTACATTTGTTAAAAATAATTTAATCAGTCTAGGACTCACTTCTCTGAGCCCGGGACCCCTCTTGCAGCCATGTAACTGTATGATGGAGAGTGACTGTCTTCTCGTTCTGTAGGATGACTACTCCCACCTATCAGCCTATGAAAGGAAAAGACTAAAGAACATCACAGAAAATGCTAAATTCTTTGCTTCTCTAGAGCTGCATGAGGTTTGTATTTGGTCTAAATAGCATCAAAATGCTCTTTCCAAGTGTCGTAATTGCACTGTCATCCGTCCTGGTGTGAAACCCTTTCCTCACTGGGGCAGCTGTATATGAGGAAAGCCATGACAATCACAGAATCCTGGAATGTTTGGAAAGGACCTTAAAGCCCTTCTTATTCCACCTCCAGCTGTGGGCAGGGACACCTTCCATAGACTAGGGTGCTCCAAGCCCCATCCTGGCCTGGAACACTTGCAGGGATGGGGCAACCACAGTTCCTTTCTTATTATTATAAATAATGGCAGTAAGTTTATCACTGCCTTGAGATAATTGTATTTTATACTGGTTAATGCTTTATGCTCATTATCTATAATTAGTCTCTTTTTTTTCTCTTTAAGTCAGCTGCAAGACTTAACCAACTTACCACTAAAAGGCAATCTCGGGTCACTAAAAGGTACAGTACCAGTAGATGAGATTTATTTCCTTGATTCTTCATTGTGGGAGGAAAACAAATATTGGGAAAAGGTGAGGGGAAAAAAAAGAGAGGGCGTGGCCACGGTGCAGGGGAGAGGGTAACCAGTAAATGTGGAGGAGAAGACATTGGCCGTGCCAGAACAGTGCCAGGTGGAGCAGAAAATGAGCTGAAGCCCAAATAAGGAGTCAGCTGTGTGATGGGAGAAGGTGGGAATGGCTGGGTGGGTAAGGAATGAGGAGAGCTGGGAAGGGATGCATCCCAGGGAAACAGGGGTGGCACCTGCTGTGCAGTGCAGAGTGCTCGTGGTTTGTCTCAGTGTCATGGATGGAGGAGCAGGGCCAGGAGGGGCTGGTGCCTGCCAGCTGTGCCCGTGGGTCTGTCCCTAGCTCTGCTCTGGCTGTTGCAGGGCCAAGCCTAAGAAGGCAGAGGATGAGCCGGCGCGGCGGCGATCCATGCGCCTGCTCAGGGAGCCGCCGCTGGACGTTCCCTTGCTGGACAGGTTTCCCCGGCCAGAGGCAGAGGAATATGTGAGATGGGGAGGGGCTGCAGGAGGGGTGGGCGCACAGCAGCTTTCTGAAGCCGCTGATGGGTGGCACTGGGCACTGCACTGAGGTGTTTGGGAGCTGTGACACAGGGACAGGAAGGCAGGCTCAGTTCTGTCACCCTGAGCAGGTGCCTTGGTCTCACCATGAGCCAGGCCGTGCTCTGTCTCCCAGGCTGATGGCATGGTGCAGTTGGGATCTGCAAAAGGGTCCTGATGTAGAATGTTCCACATCAACAGCCCATGGAGCTGAGCAGCCTTAAATCCAAAGGTTTATTACTCTAGTTTTTATTTCGCTGTAACTTCTGAACTGGTTTTATTTTCCTGGGTAATAGTCACCATCTCTTTGGAGCAGTGAAGGAGCAACAAGTAAAAGGCATGCTGTTCTGAGAAATGGGAATTTAAATCTTCCGTGGAGCTGTAGAATAGATTTGAATCTGTAGTAAAGGTCTTGCTGCAGTATCAGGAGAGGAAGAAATCCAGGGAGGCAGTTGTTCTGTGCTGCCAGTGAAATTGTCTTTATTTTTTAATAGGGTTATGATCTCACCTTCTGTTTTTACTGTTTATTTCCTGTCCTAGTGTAGGTGTGTTCTCAGAATGTCTGGTGGGGAAAGTACCAATTCACCTTGTTTGTGGTTTAATTGGTTTGAGTTACAAAAATTGCCAATGTCCTCCCAGCCTCAGGTTCCAGGCGGACCTTTGCCCATGGTTCCAGAGTACCAGACAGAGAGCAGTAAATGGACAGAGGCCTTACTGAACACGTGGATGAGGATAAGTGAGGTATTATTGGTTTTATTTGTTATTTTTGGATCGTGTAATTTCACTTGGGCTCTGATTTTGATTAGATATCTCCATTCTGTGTGTAGGTGAAGGCGGAAGATGCTGAGCGGGACACACCTGACATAAAGAGGTAATGTGAAAACATTAGCCAAAACTGGGGATTATCTGGCCCCCCTTCCTTCCTTCCCTAATGAATGTTTTGGGGATGGTTGTCATTTTGGTTTCCCAGGTACCAGGAGAGCCTGAGCAGCATGGTGCTGAGAGAGGAGAACATCAGGAAGGTGGTGAAGTCCCGGGTGTGTTCCATGGCCATCCACCCTTCCGAGAGCGCCATCCTTGTGGCAGCTGGAGACAAGCTGGGGCACGTTGGCCTCTGGAATGTGGTGAGTGCTTCATGTGCTCCTCACCTGAACAGGTGTGTGGTTCAGGACAGCTGCAGGTGGGGCACAGCCTGGGGTAGCATTTTGTCAGGCTCTTCAGAGTGTTCTAGGTTTTTTCCATTCTTAGGGATAATCCTTGGTGGTTGTCAAGAGTGATTGTCAGAGTTGCCAGAGCGGCTTTCCCTTTTGCTCTCCCTTGTATTTTTCTGAAGTTTGAAAGCAGAATCATCTTTGTGGGATGAACCAGAACTTGGTCCAAAATGACCTGTTCAGTTTCTTTTAAAATAACAAAATGATGCAAAAGTTAGAAGAGAAGACACAGGAGATCCTGTGTTCATGCAGTTTGGGTCGCTAGTTCAGCCTGAGCTCTCAGTAGCCCAGTGTGTCCATATTTTGATGTGGTAGCAGAAGCCAGCTGTGCGGGTGTGCCAGGTGCTGCTGTCCAGGCCCAGGGCTGGTGGTGGCTACAGTGGCACTAATTGCAGCAGGAAGTTGCAGTTTTCCATGATTAGGGACCAGAAGCAGTCGCACTGTTCATATCGCCTGTGCTGTTGTCTGCTCTCACCCAGCACCCTCTGCCTCCTCCAAAAAACATTCAAAAGCCAGAGATTTGGCTCTAAGAGTTGTAGTCATTAACAAAATATCTGCAGTGATCAGCACCCGTGTCTGTGGGATCTGTCGTTTTGCAGAGCTGCGGGACGGAGGAAGGAGCCCACACCTTCATCCCCCACAACTTCCATGTCAGCTGCATGCACTTCTCTCCCTGCAACCCTGCTCACCTGCTGTCCCTCAGCAATGACACGCTGCGCTGTGGCGATGTCACCAGGGCTGTCTTTGATGAGGTGAGGCACTGCTGGAAGGTTGGATCTGCTTTACCAACTCATTCTTTGGTTGTTTTATTAACAGGAAAGTTCAGGTTCTAGTTCCACAAGGACATATGGATCAACACTTAATTAGCGTCGCATAAATAGGGAGATGTTTCCTCCTCACCAAAACCCAGAGACAGCCTGTGTTCTCCCACTTTCCAAGTTTACCTTTCTGCACATGATTAAAAGCTTCTGGAGCACTGGAGAAGGGAAAGATATCCTTAATCCTTGCTCAGTGTGTGCTCGAGGCCAGCAGCTCTTTGATTGCTGGAACACAGAGGTGATAGTGCCTTGTAGGAGCTCTGACAGGGAATTTAGAGTGTGCTGTCGCTGGTCATGGTTAATTATCTCCTAATTATTTCCCCTGTGGAAAGCATCCTTGTTTCACAGAAATGTTACCTGCACAGCTGGATGAAGCTGTCACATGGGCTGCCTGGTTTTTAGTGAATTAAAGAGGGAAAGGATGGAACCCACAGCCCAGGGAGTGTTTGGGTGCTGGAACAACTGCCCGTTCCCTTTAGTTCTGGTGACATTTAACCTTCCCTGGGCTCAGATCTACAGGGGTGAGGAAGACTTGTCCTGCTTTGACTTCCTGGAAGAGAATGCCTGCACTGCCATTGTGAGTTGCTGGGACGGGCCCGTGGCTGTTGTGGACAGACGGACGCCAGGGGTGTCCCCAGAGCTCTCTGTGGACATTGGCTTCAGGAAGACACGGACAGTCCACGTGCACCCTGTGAACAAACAGTATTTCCTGGCTGCTGGCTCCGTGTACGTACCCAGCCTCAACAGGCTGGATTTTCAGTGCTCTCTGTGCTGGGGCTGAGGAGTTTCTCAGCCTCCATTTACAGTCAGAGCTGTCTTGGTCCTTTTAGAAAACAACTTTTCAGTCCTTAGCAGGATTTAAGGTGGGATTTGGTTTGATTTCCCAGATCAAATGGGAATCAGATGGGGCCTGGTGGGTCTTGGCACAGAGGGACTGTGGAGGGCTGGTTGGGGAGGGTGGTTTTGGTGCTCCCAAAATCCCTCAGAGCCACCATTTGAGTGGATATTGAAGCTCTGAACCTGCTCCCACACAGCCTGCCATGCTCTGGAGCTTTTTTGGTGAATGAAGGATAATTACTGAAGTGTTTGTGGTACCTTTGCAGGGACGTTTGTGTTTTTGATGTTCGGTACCTTCGGAACACCAAGGAGAACAAGCCCCTGAGCTCTCTGACAGGACACACCAAAAGCGTGGCCTCGGCCTATTTCTCACCTGTCACTGGCAGCAGGGTGGTGACAGTGTGTGCTGATGACCGGCTGAGGTAAGGCTGTGGAAGGAAGAATCCTCATGGAAAATACCAACTGTTTGGGTGATTTATTGTCATTATTATTATTACTGTTATTACTGCTCCACCTGACCCATCACTGACCACCTTCTGTCTTTATCACTTTAAAAAAATGATAAAGATTTACGTGCATTAACATTTTTAATGTAGTTTTTAATGTTTTTTTGCTTTGGTTGTTTTTTTTTTCTAATTCTCATTTTCCCTCAGGATATTTAAAAGTAAAAACATACAGGTACTTGTTATCTTTAAAAAACAAACAAAATGAAAACCCACAAAAACAGCCAGCCAAAACCTGGCTGGTGAGCACAAACACAAAATGCTCAGAAACGAAATTTCTTTGTAGCTGGTACTTGAAATAATGATGATATCAGCTCTTCTGTAAATAGCCTACCATTTCATCATTTAGGCTGCTGTGAGTTGCTTGTGTTAGACGTTCTTTTTCTCCTTTGTGACTGCAATTTAGATGATTATTGATTTAGTGTGGGCTGGGCAGTTTTTGCCCTGGGGGTGAGACCCCCAGGTTCACGAGGTGGAGGAGCAGAGGCAGGATGCTGGGCTGGCCTTTGGGCTCTGCAGCCCCTCCTGCAGAGCTGCCAGCCAGGTGGGCTGCAGATGCAGCTGGCAGCAAACCCAGTTCTGAGCACATGCAGTGGTTCCAGCTGGGATGGTTCCAGCTGGGGTGCTGGTGCCCATGGCCAGGCTGGCTGGCTGGGCACACTCCTGGGCCCCAGGAGCTGGAGCTCTGTGAGGGAAGGGCTGCCTTTTTAGCACAGGTTCTTGGTGTTAATGTGCTCTTCTGTGCCCAGGGTCTACGACACCACGTCCTTGTCATCCACTGTCACACTGCTCAGCTCCATCAGGTGAGGACAGCACACCTGGGCCAGGGCAGCGCCGTGGCTGCTCCTGTGGGCCTGGGGGGACAGGACACAGGGAGCGGCTGCCACTGCCAGAGGGCAGGGATGGGTGGGATTTTGGGAAGGAATTGACCCCTGGCAGTGTCCCAAGCCAGGCTGAACAGGGCTTGCAGCACCCTGGGATAGAGGAAGGAGTCCCTGCCCATGGCAGGGGTGGCACTGGGTCATCTCTAAGGTCTCTCCCAGCCCAAACCATTCTGGTATTCTTGCCCCATCCTGCCCATCCCAGGACAGGGATGTACTGCAGGGATCTGAGCACTGCAGCGTGAGCGCTGAAGGTTTAGAAGGCAAGGGAGCAGATGGGACATAAATGATGATTTAAAATGCTGGATTCACAAGGAGTAACGTTCCTCTTGCCCTGCAGGCACAACAACAACACAGGCCGCTGGCTGACCCGCTTCAGGGCCATCTGGGACCCCAAGCAGGAGCACTGCTTCCTGGTGGGCAGCATGGCACAGCCCAGGCAGATCGAGGTGTTCCAGGACACCGGGAAGTTGCTGCACTCCTTCTACAACGTGGACTGCCTCGGCTCCGTGTGCTCCATCAACGTCGTGCACCCCAGCCAGAGCATCCTGGTGGGAGGCAACTCCAGTGGCCGCCTCCACGTGTTCCAATAGAAGTGCCTTAGGTCTTTATTTTTTACCTCCCTGCACTGACTTGGTTCATTCTGTATTAAGCAGTTCCGAAGCTGGCTGTTGTTTCTCAGGACAGAAATGTACTTTTAAAGTCTTAAAATAAATAGTTTAAACTGCCTTTGGCACACATGTCTTCCATGGAAATAAAAGTGACCCTTGAGCCCCCAGCTCCCTCAGCCGCTCCTGGGTCTCCAGCCCAGGACATTCTGCAGCCCCTGGTGCCTTCCTTGTAGTGAGGGGCCCAAAACTCCTGGGTGCATTTGTGAAATTGTGCTCCTGGATGCAGAGACGTGCGAGGGACTCACCTGCAGCTCTGGAACTCTCACTCCAGTGAGAAGCTGCTAAAAGACCAGATTTATCACGCTTTGAGCTGTTTCATAAGAAAAATCAGAATCGCTGAACAAAGCTCATCCCAACTCTGCTTTTCATGATATTTAAATATTTATTTAAATTTAAAAATACTTTTCATGGCACCAATGATTTTATGCTAACTAAGGTATTGGATATGTAGAAAAAGGTACATTTTGAAGGAAAAAAGAATGTAACTTACAGTATTTGGCACATGAAAGGTTAATCTCTAGGTTTTCTTTATGAAAACTAAGAAATTCACATTTTCAGGTATTTTACTGTCTACTGCTGAAAGATGCAGTATGCTAGGACGAGATTCATGGGTTTCTGCTCTCAGAACCTATGGAAACAACATTTTGATAGAAAGACGGGCAGAACTAACAGGGCCTGAAACACACGACAGGATCTGGGACTGACGGGAGAAACGTACAACGGAAAATCACCAATTCTCGTGGTTCTGCAGTAAAACGCTGGGGGACAACGGCAGAGGTGACCTGGGGCTGGCACAGAGCGTCACCCGAGGAAAGCCACGGTGGAGGGGCCCAGCTGGGGCTCGGAGGACGTGTCCGAAAAGGATGGAGCTGTGCTGTCACACGTCACACAGAACATTGCAGTGAGGAGAGGAGGAGGAGGAGGAGGAGGAGGAGGAAGGACGACACTGCAGCGTTAACCCGGGGTAAAAAATGTCAGCGTCGGGACGAGCACAACTGCATAGAAACATCAGCGCTATGGGCTGAGGTAGGAACACTACACTAAGAGTTAATTCTGCTATGTTGCATAAAACAGGATTATCATGTAAAAAAACTGCTCCTCCGCCTCCTGGAGCCTTCCC